TATTATACTCCCTCCATTTCTCTTCCCCAGACTCTCACCTTCTGTGCTTTTCAGAGAGAAGCCATAACCTTTCTCCTCCTTCACCAGGTAGCAGAGCCGGGGTTGTGGAACTGCAGTGATAGCTCCATTGGCCATGGGTGGTGGGGACTGCTGCTCCTCCTGCTGTTCTTTTACCACCTTTTGACCCAGCTCTTCCAAGTTCACTCCCTCTTTTTCTGCCTTTTGATAGGATGTGTCATCCAGAACAAGAAATACAACAGAATTTCCGCTGTTTTTCACAATCTCCACCACCTGTAGTGGACAAGATGAAATGACAAGCAGATGTTAGGGTGATGGACCTAAAAGCTGTCCCCAGGAAGGGTTGTACTGTCTACTGTTTTTGGTGTCTCATCCCTCTGCTTATGTGCTATGGAGGCACCTCAAAGACATGTCACGCTCATGGTGGGTTATGAATGGTGCAGGGAGATACTCAAAGGAGTTGACTCAGCTCTTGGATTTCCTAGCTGAAGATGCCATGAAAACTGGAAGAGAAAGCTTGACACAGTGGCAGTGGGTCTGGGTAATGGGGGAGTGGTGTGGATCCCAGATGAAACAGAACTGTACCTGTGCATGTTCCTTCTTGTCTACAAACACACCATTAACCCGGAGGACTCTGTCTCCATCCTTCAAGCCAGCTTTTTCAGCTGGACTGTTCTTTTCCACGTTCCGGATGAGATGCCCTGCTGTGTCTTTCTCGATACGAAGGTAGAACCCATAGCTCTTGTGGGGCTTTTTGGTCACTTTACATTCTCGGGGCTGGACAGCAGAAGTCATCTCTACCAGACAGGATGGAAAAGATATGTGTGAGTACGAACAGTAACCTTACCTAGTTATGTTCCTTCTAAATACACATTGAGACAGTTTGCTTCAGAATTCTTGGGTTTTCTTTTCCCAGGAAATCTAGCTGTGCAAAGTTGAAGCTAGTTAACAAGGCTAGGGAGGAGAAACAAATCCCTTCTCCCTCTCCCTCCTTGCTTTTCTTGTCTCCCTGTCTCAAAAGAAGTTAAGCAAGATGTGGAACTGGAAGAAAGACTTTTATCTGCCTCTGACAACATAGTGAAAATTGAGGTGAGGATTTAATACCAGATTTAAGTCTTAAAGAGAAAAAAAACTGGAACACTCTAGGAAAGTTATGTGACAAAATGGGATTTCTTAGAATCACAGAATGGTCAAGGTTGGAAGGAACCTCTGGAGGTCATGGAGTCCAACCTCAGAGCTCAAGCAGGGCCACCTAGATCCTGTTCCTCCCAACCAAGTCCAGACAGCTGTTGAGTATTTCCAAGAAGGGAGGCCCCATTACCTCTCTGGGCAATCTATGCCAGTGCTCAGTCACTCTCATAGTAAAATAAAAAGCGTCCTTATGTTCAGATGGAGCTTCCTGTGTTTCAGTTTGTGCCCATTGCCTCTCACTGGGCACCACTGAAAGGAACTCCAGGCTCCATCTTCTTTACACCCTCCCTTCAGATATTTTTATACATTGATAAGTTTCTCCTGAGCCTTTGCTTCTCCAGGCTGAACAGTCTCAGCTCTCTCAGCCTTTTGAATATCCCTAAAGATGAAGACTCTATAGCTTCTCTGGGCAGCCTGTGCAGATGGACAAGCAGGTGGGATCAGGGAAGGACCTCATTATCCTAACCAGGCTTTCCTGTTCTTAGTTATTTTAGCTAAACAAAAGTAAGTTTCAGGAAAAGACATTGTAACTGGAGTGTTATTGAGTGCAGGGTTTGCATTGGAGGGTGGAAAGCAAGGACCATGAAGAAACTAGGAAGACCCTTGTCTCTTCTTACAGATTTATTTCTTCTAGCTGGATTTGCTGTCTCTATGCCTCAGTTCTCATACAGAATGGTGCACTTGCTTGGTTTCTGTGTCCTTTTGAAGTTACTGTAGAGTCAAACTTCTTGGAGCTGTCCATGTTTCCTCTGCCTCTGAGTCCTGATTAAACACTCTTTGATTCCATTATGGAGGGGAACTAACAGAGCTGTTTCACTTTGGTATATCATTATACGTGAGACTTGGGTAAGAGATGAATGCAGGTGTTATGAGGTCTAACAAAAGTGTGGAATATTGAGGTGTACACCTACTGATGACGTGAACGTGCCATCAGGTAATCGCTTGCAGGAGAGGTAATTTAATACTGCCTGGTCTGCGTGGAACAACACAGAGGAGTTGGGACAGTTTATCTTGCAATTCTCACATGAATCCTGAAATAACTCTAAAGCCTCAATTTGCTGCCGGACTAAAACTTTGTCTCCAACCCTGATGACTTGAACAACGACATGAGATGTAATTAATATAAAAATGTGATATTGTGTGAGAAATTAAATTTGGTTTAGAAATGACAGGCTGTGGAAGTAACTGCAGTGGTTTAATTCAAATGATTTATCAATGAATTTGTGACAACTGGAGCAGAATTTCCAGTCAGAGTCTCCAGGGTTATTTCCACAGAGAATTTGAGGCTAGCTGGTTAAAGAGTATACTTGATGCTGGGGATTTCTGACAGATTGCTATTAGGCAGTGACCTTTGTCCTCTGGAGGTTTGGGAGCAAATCCTCCTAGAAGCTGTGTCAAGATACATATGCCAAGGAGCAGAAGGTGTTTGGGATCAGACAGGATGGATTTCCTGATTGTTATGGTACCTGGTGAACCTGATAACTTTACATGATGAGTGTGATCTCTGTGATGGGCAGAGAGCAGTGGATGCTGTTCACCTGACTTTTGCAGTGACTTTGATACAGTCTCCAGCACAGTCAACGTAGCCAATTTGGTGACATAGGTACTGGATAAACAGACTATGATGATCCAGAACATTGGCTGGTGCCACTAAATTCAGAGGGCTTTGATCCGTGGTGTATAATCCAGCTGTTGGCTGGTTATTAGTGACATTCTCTACAATTGGTACTGGAGCTGATACTGTTTAACATCCATCTTTATGATATAGAGAGTGAGACAGAATATGTCCTCAAGAAGCTGATAGGTGATACCAAATTGAAAGGGAACAGTCAACAGGCTGGAGGTTCGGGTTGCTGTTTAGAGGGACCTCAGCAGGCTGGAGAAATGGGCTGATAGGCACTTCATGAAGTTCAAAAAAGGACAGTGGGGGGGAAAAAAAATAGTATCTCTATCTAGATCATGTACAACAAACAATAGAGGCTGACTGCTGGCCAGCCAGAAGGCAGTCTTGCTGGGCAGCACTCAAATACCCAAGCTGGACATGAGTCAGTGGCACACCTTTGCGGTGAAGAAGGCCAACTGTATATTGGGTGGTATCAGAATGCAGCCAGCAGGTCAAGGGAAGGGATTGTTCTCCTCTCTTTGGCACTTGTGAGACCACATTTGAGTACTGTCACCAGTTCTGAGCTCTCCAAGAAATTGATATATTGGAACTAGTCCACTGAGGTGATAGTCCACAGACATGAGCTGCAGCAAGGGAAATTCCAATTAGACATCCATAAGGACAGCTTTTCATCTTGGGAGCTGTCAGATACTAGAACAGGTGTCCAGAGAGGTTGTGGAATCTCTGTCCTTGGAGATCCTTACCTGGATGGGGCCCTGAGCCCCTGCTCTAAGTTGGCCCTCTTTTGTATGACACATTGGACCAGATGACCTCCAGAAGTCCCTTCCAACCTAAACTCTTCTCTGCTTTTATGATATAATGAAACTCTGCTTAGCAGGAATACTATGTATTGAAAGTAAGCAATCATTGTGACCAGGGAACAACTCCAAAGACAGTTGTCTTAGGAACTCCTGACAAAGATCCATGATGAGAGAGGAACAAGGTGAATGAAGACAACTTCCTCCAGTTGGAAAGTCCTGGTAATTAGCAAACTTGATTTGTATTTTACGGGATTTTTTTGTTTTCTGCCTCTCTCTACTGACAGAGATCTGTCAAAAGGACAAAGTTGTGTTGCAGAGATGAGCTGTTCATCACAGCCTAATAAATACTAAGAACATTCATCTGTTTCCATGTAAAGATTTCTTTACAACTCTTGTTTTTTCTGCTCTTTATACCATCAGTGTGACCCATGTATGTGGAACATGGCCTTTTTTCTTGTCATTTTTTTAGAAGTAGCTCGCAATCAAATCCTTCCTTGATAACAACCTACTGCAGAACCACCTCTGTGGCTACCCATGCTGCAGACTTTGCTATTGAAGCTGCAAGTACGTTGCTGAGGTTAGTTGGGCAGCATATAGAACAGGATGGATGTATGGTGGGAGTTTGGCACAGATGTCACTGAAGCTGGAGAATGTGTGGAATTTTATTGTGCCAGGATAAGAAGCCTGCAGATCATGATTGACTTCTTCCCCTTGGTCTGATGCCTTATGCTTTTTTGAGTCTCTGTGTAGGGACTAACTCCATAGAGGGGTGGACTGCCCTATTATTTGGACGTTGTTTGGAACACATCAGACTGTATTGATGACAACTACAACTCAAAGCAATTTTTCTGGCAAACACTGGGAATCTGTGCTCATTCCTGAAGTTAACGTGCAAAAGCAGTGGTAGGCAAAGCTGAAGAAACAGTAGGCTTTTATGGGAAAGTTGATTCCTTCCTATTTAGAAATGGTGAGAAGGCTACAGTGCACTGCATACTACTTTTAATCCATGAAAGCTTTGCATGCAAAATTATTTGGATTGTAAAAAGGAGTTTTCTAAGAAAAGAAGAATTAGCAAAAAAGGAATTTCTTACCTGTATGTCTGCGTTGAGCAGCCTTCAGAGGAATTCTCTTTTGCTGTCCCTCCTGTGGCTGTACCTATAAGTAAGGCTGGACTTTGATTGGGCAAAGGTTGATTTAAAAGATGATTTATTTAACCAAGTTTCACTGAATATGTTCAACACCTTGATAAGCTGCCTTGTCCTTGCCTGCAGAAGTGCTAATCACATGCATTTCTCAGCAGCTTTGAATTTTGTTCTGCTGATAATTATGCTCAAAAACTCAGTCAAGGAGTTCATCCAAGGCAAGCCTGATCTTTGCTCTGGGCAAGAGTCTTCTCCACCTATAAGGAATGTCTTAAAGGGAGCAGGTTTGGATTGTGGTGGATTGACGTGGACCAGCAGCATTGGACTGCAGATCAAGAAGTTACTGGTTCAAACCTACGTGCCCCGTGTTGGATGCCAAAAAAGGGACTGTGGTAGGTTAACCTTGGCCAGCAGCCAGATGTCCACTGAGCCACTCTCACTCCCCTCCTCTACAGGACAGAGGGAGAAAATAAGGTGCTGTGCTTTGCATTTGTGGCTCAGATAGTGTTGATAACACACCACTTCTTTGGCTGTTGTTGACAGAGTGTTTGCTTTCCCTCCCGCGTGCCCTCCAAAGTGAGTAGGCTGAGAATGAGCAAGAGGTTGGGAGGGGACAGAGCTGAGACAGCTGGCCCAAACTGACCAAAGGGATATTCCATACCATTTGATGTGCTCAGCATTTAAAGCTTAGTGAAAGGAGGAGGAAGGAGGTTTATGGTTATGGCAGTCTTCCCAAGCAACTGTTGTGCATGTTGAGATGCTGCTTTCCATGAAGTAGCTAAAGATCTGCCTGCTGATGGGAAGTAGTGAATGAATTCTTGTTTTTCTTTGCTTGCATGCAGTTTTCCTTTCCTTATCAAATTGTCATTATCATAATCCATAAGTCTTCTTGCCTGCCTTTTATTTTTTTCCCCACCCTGCAGGAGACAAGTGAAAGGGAGTCAAGGTGGATGTTTGGCTGTTGATTGGGGTCAACCCACCACAAGGGCATATCTTATTCCCTGGCCATAAGCACGTGCAGGATATGCTTATAGACACGGACTGAACTGATGGTGTTTCTAATGAGGGAGGAAGCCTCCAAAATTGACAACTTGGTATAATAAGATGCTTAATGAATTGACCATGTGAAGTTCTTATTAAAAAAAAAATCTCATTCAATTTTAGAAAGCTTGAAAATGACTTATTTCCCCCATTAACTTTATATGAATTGGATTATTAGAAATAATCCCTGTGTTTTCCTTGGCTGTCTGCTCCAACTGTTTAATTCAAAGGAAAGGTAAGGGAAACAAGAATAACCTCAATGTGCTGCAACAGAACAGTCATCAGTGTTGTAAAAGCCTTACTGTAATCCACTTACTCTAAGTGGACTCGCAAGCCTGTTGTGACTAGGAGTCGTTCCTCTTCGTATAACATACAACCTAATCACCTAAGTAAGTGAGCCCCGATGTTGTAAGCACCAGAGAAGTCACACCCTGCCCTGTCCTCTGCTTGCAGTCTGTCAGACAAGTAAGGCAAAGACTGGATGAGGAGGGATATAGAGAAGGGGTATCACAGTGGCTCATAGTTTTGCAGCTAAGCACAGATGGAAACACGTACAAGGATCTTGGGTCAACATACAAGGATATAACACAGCATTTTAATCAAAGTGTACTTTATTTTTTTTTTCAATTATATTGCTACTGTGATAGTCACTTGAGGTTATTTTGGGTCCAAACAAGATATTTCAAGAATAAGGTGCTACACAAATGTAAAATGTTAGTGAAACAGAGAAATATTCTGTGTTTCTAGAAGGGAAAGTGTGGTCATGTTCTGAACAGGAAGGAGATGGAGGTTGCACAGAAGTTTCAGAAGAAATTTGAGGGAGAAAGTTCTAGCAATCAACAGAGTACTTGAGCTTCTGGGGTGGTGGATTCTGAAACGTTAGTGAATATGAATGGCAAAGGGGAAAGTTCTTTGAGTTGAGGCTGTTGGTTAGAGAAAACTAGCTAATGAAAATTCACTTCCAAGTCACAGATGCAGCATGTTGAGAGAATACAGTCTTATTTGTGTCTTCTGCTGACCCCAGCTGTGACAGTCATGAAACTGTCCCCTGCTCCCTGCAGAAAATGATGCCTCAGCCCCTGGAAAGGTGGTGTGCCTGGTCTAAGTCATCACAACCCAATGTATTAACAAGAGGTAACATCACTCTCAGTGTATATTAATATGCAAGGCTGTGATGGCTGAAAGCTGTGATTCACAGCCTCTGTCAGGTAGAGATACTCTCCCTGAAGAAGTTGCTGTTCCCATCTGAGGGGGCAGAGGCCTCTTCAGCTAAGGCTTTCCTTCCACAGCTACATCCAACAGGAATTGTGAATCAGAGCTTTGGACTATTTTAAGGTCTCCTTCAGCAGAGTAATGGGAAGACATTTTATTTATTCTTGTATTTAAGCTGTTCAAAATCAGTACAGCCCTTTCCCTTTGCCCCTTATTTTGCCAGTGACTTATTTTTTTCCCACTCTAGTTTGGCAAGTATTCTGTAAAGCACCATGTGATTTGGTAATGGGAATATTTGGTTCACTGAAGTCCTCCTTAACCATGAGGCAAAGTCCGTTTGAACTGCCAGATGAATATTCATCAGTTATCCTGCACATAGCCAAGTGGTAATTAATTCTTTCTCTTCTGGTGACCACATGCTCCTGATATGGTGAAGAGGGTCAGGGGGGAAAAAAAGGGAGAAGCAAACAGGAATGACATTGCAATCCTGCTGGTTTGCAGGCTTGCAGAAGAAGGGCAGAATAGCCCTCCTAGTGTTTTGGGCTTATGTCTTCCTAAAAATGAGGGAGAGAAAAAAATGAGAATAAATTGCTGTCCCTGTGTTTGCAGCACAGAAAGGTATTCTGTTATCCCATGGACCTGTCAGTAAGGAGCTATAGTGGCAGTCCTCTTCCCCCAGGCTTTTGTCTTTGTGCTTTAAATACTGAATTGTCTTCCCTAGTGACCTTTTTACTGGAGAATATAAACTATAAACAATGCTTTCATCTTTAGCTGTTCAACAAATATTCTGTGTTGAGCATGAATTTGGGCTTTTTAGATGCAGAATTTTTTATGGAATTAACTGTGAGGTGTGTCTGCGCAGCTTCTTTTGGTGTCATGTCAGGCTGTAATCAATGTTAAAAACTGGAAATTTCTGTTGAAGCAAAAATTCAAAGGTCTTAAAAATGAACTACGTGAGCTAAGTAGACTTTTTGGTGGAACTGTGTGTTTGTCCCTAGTAAATGGCTGTATGCATGTATATATATATATATTCACATGCATGCAGAGCAGTCAGGCTGTCTGGAGGATAGCAGCAACTGAAGTTGGTTTGATTAATGCTGCTCAAATGGCAATGCTTTTGGAATTCTTGTAACATGTGGAAAGACTTTTCTTTCTGTTGTACATTGTCTGAACATGTGTTTCTTTGCTTCTGCCTTTTAATTGCTGTTTCATTCAGTAGTCTTCCGACATGTGAGATGCTGAGACATAAAAAAATGTTATAAATCTACTAGTCTGGCTTTTTCCATTCAGCACATGGAGCTTTCTTTTTTTCCTAGGGTATGTATTCTTATAACAATGTTTTTTTTCTGATCTATGAAAGAACAGAATAAGTTACTTAGATCTCGGTTGCATGTGCATTTCTTGCCCTCTGGAGATGGATTTCTGAATTTGACAGTAGACTGTGTTCCTTTTTCTTTTAAGCTTTTGAGATGTATAAATAATAAGTACTATGTCTACTTCACTGTTTTCTTCCAGGAGCATGGGGCAGAGATGCTTCTACAATCACTACAGAAAACATATACTCTTCCTCCAAAAATACAGCTCTATGAGACAGGAATTATTCAGGCTTTGGCAGCAGCAAATGTGAATCTCTTTCTCTTCCCATCTTCCATTCTTCTTCCTGCTGCCTATGTCCCATCTCGTCCCGTCCCCCCACAAGTCTGTAATCCATCCAGGAAATGTCCCTGATTTCTGTATTAACCTCTATACTATTCAGTATTTAATTTCACTTTGTTAGTGAAGATACTATGCTGACATTTCATTCCCCTAAGCTCAGGCTGAACTGATGTCTGGAGAGGTAAGATGCATTAGCCTCAGCAAATATCAATGATGTTGCTCCATGGAATCCAGAAGAATTATTTTCTTAAGAATCACAGAATGTTGTGAGTGGGAAGGGA